AAAACAAATCGAACTATGTCTATCGCTTTCATGTTTCAGCGGGACGTTCGTTTCAGAACTACCCTGCACCTTCTATGTACTTCTCTTTAGTACTTGAGATTAGGGCGAATATCGGTCGAGGAACGTCGAGGATTTTCGCTTTATCGTTTACTATCTCCGGCGCGGACACTTACACTCGCTTGCGCGAGCAGTCTGTGCTCTCTGCGCGTACGTTCACTCTCGGCATTACTCTCGTACAGTACGGAGCCACGGTCTAGGTATTCCTCGACCGTTATCCACCCTGCCTGAGATTGCAGTGAAAAGAGAAAGATCTGAGGAAAACAAAGCTGAAGCCTCCATAACAGAAACTCTGCTCGTTGAGTATGTATGAATGTTGACTCTGCGTTCCGAAAGCCGCATGATCAGTATGTATCAAATTCATTTCTAATCCGCCAGAGCTCTTGTAAGATGTGTGCTGTTTACAATCAGGTACTCTCAAAACGCAAAGTCACGAGTGAGTTGTTTGGTAAAACGACATTACCCGCCACCCTAGAAAGAAAGTACCGCGAAACAAAAACGGTTAAGCTGTGTCTAACGAACTAACGAATTTCGGTTCGGAGGCCGCTTGTGGACTCACATACTGCCGTACATCACCAGCTTGTGTCGGTAGAGCAGCACCATGTTCATAATGGTCTCCGACGTACATGTGATCATCCATCATAACCGTACAGTAAACATCTACAAGTAGTGCAGTATGACTGGAATCTTGCGCAAAATACAGATCATAGGTACCCGACAGGAGGCCCGTCGCGCGGCAAGAAGGCAGAGTCGGCGGACGAGTCGCAGCGCGTGATGTGCGATGTAGGACGTGCAATGGACATTCTATTTAACTTGACGCGAAATCACTACAGTACGCGCTGCGACTCGTCCGCTGACTCTGCCTTCTTGCCGCGCGACGGGCCTCCTGTCGGGTACCCACAAATCACGAAACGACAATTGATAAAAGAAGAAACGCGGTACAAGTTCTGTCAATCATGCAATAACTATGAAGGGAAGAGGCGCTGATGAGCAAAGCCGCGGAGAAATGTCGAATGAACAAACTGAACACTCACGGGATCAGAAAACAGGCAAGCGTTGAAGTTGACACTAAATGATGCACACGAAATTGCAGTGAGACAGAAAATATTGTCAATCTAACAAATAATCAATAAAAATGAAAAACAAACAAAGAATGCTATTTCAATGATGACATTTTGCGTCGTCGAAACAAATGGTGCCAAATGATGACAAATGCCTTCATTTCTTCCACCGTTCATATTCATTTCCAATCGTAGGAGCCCATTCGGGGGTGAGCCAAGGACGAGATTATTTCTCGACGTACGGGAGAAGGGAAGAGGAGGCATGTTCGGTGGGAGTAGCAATGAATATAAGGAAGAAGTGGGAGGAGAGCTCAATGAGGATTCATGAGTTCTTTCTAGAAGACTCAAAAACTATGTAAACTAGAGATTAAAGACTATAACTCCTCAGAAACATTAGTCATTTCACGGAAGTTCTATAGAGCTTCCGAACTCCAGGAATTCATGAAGCCCTTCCTGTCTTGACTGCAGCATGAACAACTTCCACCATGCCTTCTATCTCCTGGAGCACTTTTTCGTCGGAAAAGGATAAGGTGCACCCTCAGTCAGGACCGAAGTGAGCTTTGTTTCGAATTGGGACTTCAGCTGAGTGGGGGGGGGGGGAGCGTTTCAGCAGTTTAATTTCGTCGACCCCTGGTTCACCCTATCTCATACATGTAGCGCCTTTCCAGCCTTTGCTTCACTTGAATGTGATTGTGAATAGGCTCGTAGGAAATGTCCGGGATTCCGGTGTATAACCTGAGCTTAAAAGTGGCAGTGGAGTCAGTACTGAGAAAAAAGAAGAACCGCTGACACTGGCGGAAATGAAACTCTTCTCCAGGAGCAGCGAAGCGCGAAGTAGCATGGATTTGTCGGCTGGATTCTTGGTTATGGGCGGAGCTCATGTGTATCCTTGCGCCTAGAGCCTCAGCCTTGCTAAGAAGTGGCACCATGTTGATACATGCTCTGATTGTGATCTTGCGCATCACTTCATATTTCGCAGAGGCTTCTCTTCGTCCAGGATTCCCCAACTCTGTCTAAAAAGTGAGTTTACGAACAGCCTAGCGGCCCGATTTCTCGGTGATCACCCTGACTCCTTTGAAAACCACCGCGCCTAGTCTTGAAAACGTCAAACAAGCCACTCAGTGTACCCATTTAGCTCATTCTAGGATAAAGATAACCGTAGAAGGATAACTCACCTACGAGATCGCGAACTTCATAGCATTTGCTATGGCATTCCGGGTTCGATGGCTATGCTTCTGAATGACAATGAAGATTGGCTACGGTACTTCATGTCAATTTCATAACAATTTCCGACGGAAACGCTTTCATACTTTTTGCATATTCATTTCGTGCTAGAAATGAAAATGAGAACAGAAATTGAAGACTACGGGAATCGCAACAACGTTTATGCGCTTCATTCGCAAAATCTCAGTGCTCAGTCCTTGGTGGTGGTGGGGGGAGGGAGAGTAAGCAAACCAGCCCTTTTGGCGTTTCTGCTGGGACCGTATGCTGAATGTTGGGGAGGGGATGGGGTCCCCGACGGTCGACGGACTACTTCAACTCGGTCGGTACGGTAGGAGAGTAATGACGCAAGTGGTGCAGCTGGTCCAGCAGCTCCGCCAAAAGGGCTGGTTTGCTTACCCAGGACTAAGCCAAAAGGGCTGGTTTGCTTACCCAGGACTAAGCCTTGGAGAGAGGACGGACCCGTCCTCTCTTCAAGGCTTAGTTCCTGAGGTAAGTCAAATTGTGGCGGTTTTAAGGACCGAGTTGAAGTAGTCCGTCGACCGTCGGGGACCCCATCCCCTCCCCAACATTCAGCATACGGTCCCAGCCAGAAACGCCAAAAGGGCTGGTTTGCTTACCTCGGGGGAGGGAGTGGATGGGGAAGTAAAATCAAAACAGGGTCGATAGTAGGTGAGACTAGGACTAAGCCCCTCAGAGGGCAGGAACGCCTGGGTCCAAACACAATTACTGGCTCACTCACTTCGATGTCCCCCCCCCCCCAAGGACATGAGCGCCCTCACAAGGGGGTCTTTCAGGGCAAGCCACGCTTTTTCAAAACGGTTTTTTGCATATTGTAGGGACGCATGTAGGGAACACAAAACCATGTTTTTCATTTTCGCTGAACGGTTTTAGTAGTACCAAAAGATACCCTTAATGGTTCGATCCCCGTGGCGACTAAATTTTGCATTTGGGTTGGCGCCTACCGATTGTGCCAAATCGCGCTAAATGTCAGGACCATTTTGAAGCCAACAAGTGGCCGCCAACCTTGATTGCAAAATTTAGTCGCCGCGGGGGATTGAACCATCAAGGGTATTTTTTGGTACTACTAAAACCGTTCAGCGAAAACGAAACATGGTTTTGTGTTCCCTACATGCGTCCCTACAATATGCAAGAAACCGTTTTCCAAAAAGCGTGGCTTGCCCTGAAAGACCTCCCTTGTCAGTTCACTCGAACTCGAGGGGCATCAACCCACACTATCTATCTTGGACGAGTTCTCCTCTTATGAATGCGCACGAAATTGAGTCTCTGTATCATAAAAATTTCCAGAGCAAATTTAGTTAGCGAAACTCTTTCTAGGAGAAGAGGAAAAGCGATGGCTGAGTTCATGGCCTGCAGTCATGCGTATCTCAAGGCCTTCAAGTTTTATTCAAATTGAGGAAGTAGAAAATAAAACAAATGGAATAGTGAAAAGCTATGGGCAGCAAAAGCAGATTTGTATAGGTCAAATGGAACTCGGAAATCGGAAGAAGAAGCAGCGTCGAGGAAAACGGCTTGCATTCGAGACTAGAGACTTCACGACACATCAAGCCTTTCCGGTTGACTGCCGACAATCTAACAACATCGACAACTCTCATGAAACTTCCTGGTTCCATACGGCTAGCGAGCGAATGCAATAAAAATCGGCGGAGGCTGAAGACGGGTTTCTATAAGTTATCCAAATAGAAATGCATATTCAAAAGGAGGAAGATCTTGGAAAGCTGTTCTGTGGAGTGCATTGGTCTTTATATCCATAAGAAAATACGAAAGTTCATCCCAATGGAACTTATAGACGTATGAGTCCAGCTTCTTAGGACAGGCTAAGCCAATCGAATAAGCTACCTCGGCTAAGTTAAGAAATAGCTCGAAAGGGCAAAACAAATGACACGCCCCTACAAGTTAGGAGCTATTTGTATGCTGTGTGCACTTTAGCTAAAGTGTATTGAATCTAGGAATAGGAGCATGCTCATGAATTCATCGTATACGAGTTGGAACGAGTTGTAGCTACAGAAAAGAGTATAGCATGAGGTGGCTACTTGTTTGGGTCATTACTGCTACACGACATTTGATTTATGGCCGATGTTGGCATCAGGCCAGAGAGCGCAGCTGGGGGAACTCGTGCGACTCTTCGCACCGCGCTCTGCTCAAGTAGTAATGAGCAGAGAGAAATTGACAGAGAATTTGCTCAACCATGAAAACTGAGAAGCTTGTGAAGGGCTAACATGGGAATTCAGGTGGAAGGCTTTCGCTCATAGAAAAAACTAGCTGCTACACAGGTTTTGCACGATGGAATCTTTATTGGGCTTGACGTTTCGACTAGCTCGTCGTTATCAAAAGCCTTGACTCCACCAGCGCAATAAAATTTTATTTTACTGTATCTGGAGACCATCAAGGGAAGCTGCTGATCCAGAAGCGGTGACGCTGGTGGAGTCAAGGCTTTTGATAACGACGAGCTAGTCGAAACGTCAAGCCCAATAAAGATTCCATCGTGCAAAACAAAACCTGTGTGGCACACAAAAAGATTATACAACTGTTTAAAACCAAATGCCCAGGTTTCAAGAAAGGCGGACCTTGGAGGATATCACGTTTTTCCGT